TCTGGCGAACCAGAGCAGCACACAGAAACGCCGTTTACCTTCCCACCGGAGCGGTACCTATTTATCTACTTGCACTCTGACGTGCTTTCGAACTGCTAGGTGGGCAGGAGCAGGGATTGAAGAACTGGAGCTCACCCCGTCATGGGGATTCGAACCGCCAACCTTCTGATTGGCAAGTCCTAGGCTCTGTGGTTTAACCCACAGCACCACCTGTGTCCCTCACAAATTACCATAGGATACTCCAAACTTTCAGAGACAACCCCTAGGGGCTGAGGTCCTTTTGCCTACAAAATATTTGAGGGGGCTGCCCCTCTAAAGGTGATGGACATTGCTATTCAAATGGTATGTGTTCGCCATGCCTTGTCAATGAGGGGTGGGACTTACATGGCCCCCCAATATTTTATTCAAGTTGGCACCCCTGCTTCAAACCAGTAGTAAAGAGTGTCATTCAAAAATCTTTATCAGGTTATACATTTGTGTAGCACATTCATGTTTTATGGGGGTTGGATAACCTAGGATATGTTTGTTCATGATGCCACTTTCAATTACAACTGGCTAGAAAATGTTGGAGGAACCAGAACATCTTGTTATAGGGAAAGTGAAGAGCATAGATCATCCCAAAAACTGGCCATGGGAGGGTCAGGAGAACCTTCACAAAAGCACACAGTGGAGGAGAGTTTCCTGGCTCCCACTCAATGAAAAATTCGAACTCCGACTGCAGTGTCTGCCCAAATCTTTAATGCTCCCATCAGTGTGATACATGGGCAAAATGCCATTCAAAGGCACAGCAGGTGCTACACATAGCCAAGCAAGCAAAGACATTGATCCAGGAATGACATATACCCCAGTTTAGGAGCTAACTCCTCTTAAGCCCCCCCAAATATTTGAGGGGGCTGGGACTCCCCCCAAAAGGTGATGGGTATTGCCATTCAAATGGGGGGGGTGCCATGCCATGTGATTGATTGTGTAGGGTGGGGCTTACTGCCCCCCACACCATATTTTATTCAAGTTGGCATCCCAGCAACCCTGTTGTTAGGGAGTTGGGCCGGTACTAATTTCTCACCCATGCGCAGTGATCCCATGTTGAAAACAAACACATTTGTATCCACTGTATTAATGCGCCAAGGGACTTTTTTATGTGCCTTACTGACCAACAGGTGGCGGAAGGAGCGAGCCAGATTCTAGTGAGTGAGACTGTCCCTGGCTACAGTACTGGTTTAACTCTTTCACTGGTCAGAGCTGGCTGGAGAAGCTAATGGGCAGAGGGATTAGGAGAGGGAGGCTGGGGGAAGAAGTGGAAACTCAAAGCAGCTTAGGTTAGATTTCTTTTCAAAACTATAGTTAATATATTTTTTTTTAAGTAAACAAAGGAATTGTACTGCATGGAAAAAATATTATTTACAATTTTAAAAAGATACAACGAATTTTCACTTTCATAGTTGACAATTTTAAATATTGCTTTTAGATAGATAGATAGACAGATAGATATCTTATTTCAGTAACTCCGGAAAAAGTGTTAGGAGAGGCAAAACATTTTAAATTAAAGGAAACTGAAAGAAAATAGAAGACTATCAAATAATTAATCCTAATAAAACAGGGAGAATACATTGTGGACAGATGGTAGACTTTGAGAAAGCCCCCAAAGCAAAATTTAAACTGAAAACTCATAAAAATACCAAGATGAAGATTTTAAAGAGAATCAAGATAAACAAAAACACGTGATGACTAGAAAAGCCAAGGGAAAATTAAGAGAAATGAAAGAATGTCAGGGGCAAAATCAAGTTTCTTTACCTTTCAACCAACAAGTCTTTGGATGTAAAAAGAAGCCCAGTCAAGGGTAGGAGGATATGAAGTCGGCTTCAAGCAGCATGAAGAATAAATATAGAAAATAGAAGGCTTTTCATTTAAAAGGCAACTGGAGAAGCCATTTAGTAAAAAGAACAGGAAGGGGTTTCTGTTGCCAAAGTTAGAAAAACCAAGATTGGGGAGATTTTAACAGAGGTACGACTTGAAAGTGAGAAGGGTCCAGGGGGATCCAGGGGGAAAGAAAGCTGTGCATGTGATAAAGAGCAAAGCAGAGGCGCAGAAGACAACATAGTTCCATTTAATTTCATGTTAGCTCAGGATGCAGCCAATGTGGGATGCTTTTTGGGGACTACAGATAAGCTCCTTTCCCAATGGGCAGAACTTCAATGTATTTCTAATGTGGCTTCTAAGGAGTAGAACAGGCATCTCCAACCAGAAGTAGGGCATGATCAACAATCCAAGATAAAAACTGGCAGTGATCTCCCACCTGGAGGCAGCGGGGGGTGCAGGGTGTTTGGGTTGGGGCTGGCTTCTTTCCTGGGGGGCTCCTTTCCTGGGGGCTTGCATCTTTCCTGGGGGGGCAGGGGTGGTTGGGTAGGGGCTGGCTTCTTTCCTGGGGGGCTCCTTTCCTGGGGGCTTGCTTCTTTCCTGGGGGGGCAGGGGTGGTTGGGTGGGGGCTGGCTTCTTTCCTGGGGGGGGCTTGCTTCTTCCTGGGGGTGTCAGTGGTGGGCGGGTGGGGGCTGGCTTCTTCGCTGGGGGCTTCTTTCCTGGGGGCTGCAGCTCCTGGGGGCAGAGGTGGTTGGGTGGGTGCTGGCTTCTTTCCTGGGGGGCTCCTTTCCTGGGGGCTTGCTTCTTTCCTGGGGGGGCAGAGGTCATTGCTTTCCTGGGGGGGCAGGGTGTTTGGGCGGGTGCTGGATTCTTTCCTGGGGGGCTCCTTTCCTGGGGGCTTGCATCTTTCCTGCGGGGGGCAGGGGTGTTTGGGTGGGTGCTGGCTTCTTTCCTGGGGGGCTCCTTTACGGGGGCTTGCTTCTTCCTGGGGGGGGCAGAGGTGGTTGGGGGGGGGCTGGCTTCTTTCCTGGGGGGCTCATTTCTTTCCTGGGGGGGCAGGGTGTTTGGGTGGGTGCTGGATTCTTTCCTGGGGGGCTCCTTTCCTGGGGGCTTGCTTCTTTCCTGGGGGGGCAGGGGTGTTTGGGTGGGTGCTGGCTTCTTTCCTGGGGGGCTCCTTTCCTGGGGGCTTGCTTCTTTCCTGGGGGGGCAGGGGTGGTTGGGTGGGGGCTGGCTTCTTTCCTGGGGGGCTCTTTTCTTTCCTGGGGGGGCAGTGGTATTTGGGTGGGGGCTGGCTTCTTCGCTGGGGGCTTCTTTCCAGGGGTGAGAGGTGGGTGCAGGGTGTTTGGGTGGGTGCTGGCTTCTTTCCTGGGGGGCTCCTTTCCTGGGGGCTTGCTTCTTTCCTGGGGGGGCAGGGGTGGTTGGGTGGGGGCTGGCTTCTTTCCTGGGGGGCTCATTTCTTTCCTGGGGGGGCAGGGTGTTTGGGCGGGTGCTGGATTCTTTGCTGGGGGCTCCTTTCCGGGGCTTGCATCCTGCGGGGCAGGGTGTTTGGGTGGGTGCTGGCTTCTTTCCTGGGGGGCTCCTTTCCTGGGGGCTTGCTTCTTCCTGGGGGTGGCAGTGGTGGTTTGGGTGGGTGCTGGCTTCTTTCCTGGGGGGCTCCTTTCCTGGGGGCTTGCTTCTTTCCTGGGGGGGCAGAGGTGGTTGGGTGGGTGCTGGCTTCTTCCTGGGGCCATTCTTTCCTGGGGGCAGGGTGTTTGGGCGGGTGCTGATCTTTCCTGGGGGCCCTTTCCGGGGGCTTGCATCTTTCCTGCGGGGGGCAGGGGTGTTTGGGTGGGTGCTGGCTTCTTTCCTGGGGGGCTCCTTTCCTGGGGGCTTGCTTCTTTCCTGGGGGGGCAGGGGTGGTTGGGTGGGTGCTGGCTTCTTTCCTGGGGGGCTCATTTCTTTCCTGGGGGGGCAGGGTGTTTGGGTGGGTGCTGGATTCTTTCCTGGGGGGCTCCTTTCCTGGAGGCTTGCATCTTTCCTGGGTGGGCAGAGGTGGTTTGGTGGGTGCTGGCTTCTTTCCTGGGGGGCTCATTTCTTTCCTGGGGGAGCAGGGTGTTTGGGTGGGGGCTGGATTCTTTCCTGGGGGGCTCCTTCCCTGGGGGGGCAGGGGTGGGTGCAGGGTTGTTGGGTGGGGGCTCTCTTCTTTGCTGTCGGCTTCTTTCCTGGGGGGCTCTTTTCTTTCCTGAGGGGGCGGGGGTGTTTGGGTGGGGGCTGGATTCTTTCCTGGGGGGAGTGCAGGGTGGCTGGGTGGGGGCTGGCTTCTTTTATGGGGGGCTTGCTTCTTCCTGGGGGTGGCAGTGGTGGTTGGGTGGGGGCTCCCTTGTTTCCTGGGGGGTCTTCTTCCCTGGGGGGTTTGCTTCTTTCCTGGGGGGGCAGGGGTGCTTGGGTGGGTGCTGGCTTCTTTCCTGGGGGGCTCCTTTCCTGGGGGCTTGCTTCTTTCCTGGGGGGGCAGGGGTGCTTGGGTGGGGGCTGGCTTGTTTCCTGGGGGGGCAGGGTGGTTGGTTGGGGGCTGGCTTCTTTGCTGGGGGCTCCTTCCCTGGGGGGGCAGGGGTGGGTGCAGGGTGGTTGGGTGGGGGCTCTCTTCTTTGCTGGGGGCTTCTTTCCTGGGGGGCTCTTTTCTTTCCTGAGGGGGTGGGGGTGTTTGGGTGGGGGCTGGATTCTTTCCTGGGGGGAGTGCAGGGTGGCTGGGTGGGGGCTGGCTTCTTTTATGGGGGGCTTGCTTCTTCCTGGGGGTGGCAGTGGTGGTTGGGTGGGGGCTCTCTTGTTTCCTGGGGGGCTTCTTCCCTGGGGGGGTTTGCTTCTTTCCTGGGGGGCAGTGGTATTTGGGTGGGGGCTGGCTTCTTTCCTGGGGGCTTGCTTCTTTCCTGGGGGGGCTTTCCTGTGGGGGGCAGGGGTGGTTGGATGGGGGCTGGCTTCTTTCCTGGGGGGCTCCTTTCCTGAGGGGGCAGGGTGGTTGGGTGGGGCTGGCTTGTTCCCTGGGAGGCTTCTTCCCTGCGTTGGGCAGGGGTGGGTGCAGGTTGGTTGGGTGGGGGCTGGCTTCTTTCCTGGGGGGGGCAGGGGTGGGTGGAGGTTGGGGGCTGGAGGGATCTCTGGGGGGTTGGGGGTGCATGGTGGGCGGGTGGGGGCTGGCTGCTTCCTCTCAATTGTCAGAGGTGGCTATAGGCACTAATAACTAACCACTGGTCTCTAAATGCTCCATTGTAATTGTAGCAGCCTTTTGCTTGGCTAAGGAGAAAATCTCTCTGTGTTCTGCTTGCAACTCTTTGTACAAAGATTCTTTCAGGTTGCAGTGAGGGGGGCCATTCAAATACCGTGAGCCCATTGGAGAAAAGGTAGGCTCTGAATGGAATAATACATTAAATATGCAAACTACGTATTCCAAAGAGCTTGTAATGAGCAATGTTGGTTATCCAATCACTTTTTCAGAAGAGCTGTGAACTCAAAAGCCAATGCAGTCTGTCTTGGTGCTTCCAGCAGGAGGGACTTCTCTTAGGTTCAAAATATTTTTTATTAACAGGCCAATCAAATCACATTAATTCCAAATCACATTAATTCCAAATTATACAGCCAAATTTTTAAAATTATTTTTTGGGGTACCCATACTTCAAGCTCCGAAAGGGGTCCAAACATCACTCTTGCTGCTGCTTTGATTAAACAGTTCTATCCAGTTCTGTCCAGATAGTCTTTTTGTTATTTTCTTCATCTTGTTGTTGTTATCATATATTCCTTTCTTTGTGATCTCTGATAATCTTCACAACCGGGTGAAAGACAAACATCTCCTGTGTGGGTTTTACACTCTCCAAAAATCATATCACATAAAGGACAGACGCCATTTCCACATCTCCATTAAAAACATTCCCCCAGTCTGTCCGTTGATTCACAGGCTTGCCAATCTATATCTCAGAGGGCCCTGCCAGGTCAAGATAACGTTCCGATAACCATACATTCACATTCCAATGACCCTGGTCCTCTTCCCCCTCGTCCTCCTATGGGCAAGCCTGTCTTCACGAAATTCCATTTATAACTGTGTCATAAAACTTTCCTTCCATTCCCCGGTGTTTCCACCAGTTCTCTCTTTAATCAGTAATTCATTCCCACACAGTTCTTGGTCTCCTGCTTGTGATTAATAATCGCAACGATTCTTCTTTCTGGAGGGGAGGGTTATTGGTACTCACATAAGGCAAAAAAAGAAAAGTTTTTTCCTCCCCCCCTTTCTGTTTCACTCCAACATACCAGTCTTTTAATGATGATTCTTCACTTGATTTATTTGTCCAACCCGTCGCTCCGCTCACAGAGATCCCATTAATCAGTAGTCTTTACTCCCGATCTTCACTTGATGTATGTGCATTAGCTTCTTTCCAATTATATATTTCCAATTATATATTTTGAGCTAATGCGAACCAGTGCGCTGATTAGAGACAGTGTCAGGGAGAGCCGATCTCACTCAAGGGCTTCGTGCCAAGTGTCCACACCCCCTTCTTTCGAATCCGGGGGTGAATTATGGACACAGCTGGCAAGGCAGTCCCCCCCATCCCCTTGGGGGGGCAAGGGAGGCTACATACTCCCATAGCAGCCTCTTAATTACCTTGTGTGGGTCGGAGAGATGTTATTGTTGGCCATCTTCCAATGCGCCCCCTGGTGGCCCCCAGGAGGGACTTCTCTTGTCAGGACACCACTGCAGGGGAGGCCCTTTCCTGTGCCATCAGCACACAGTAAGGTACACCTTTTGGTGGGACAGCCAGCCTTGTTTTGTTCCAGCTCTTTTTTTACAGACCTCACAGACCTACCTGTGCCAGAAGCAGATCTGCTCCATTGACAAGTAAGAGGCGGTGTCAGAATTCTTGATACATCAAGTGAACATCTGCAGTGTGGGATTGACTTCGCTGCTTTAGGTAACCGGCTGTTTTTGCTCCTGTGTCTGGAGGGGAGGGCTGCTGAAGACCTTAGTCTCTTTCAGGTGCATCTCAGTGACTCCAGAAATAGAATTTTGCAAGCCTTCAGGAAACTTAATGGCAAGTGAGCTTCACACTCCACAATTCAGTAATCTTTTTCAGTACAATCCTTTTGGGCTGGCTTCTCCATTTCCCCTGCTTGATCTCTTCACAGTTCTGTCCAAGAGCCCACCACACTCAGGGGAAGCCCGCTCTTCCTGCAGAAGTCAGGTCAGTAAGAACAGCTGTGTTCCAAAAACATTTCTCTGGAATTGGCGGGAAAGGGCCAGGGACAAACTAATGAGTCCAGATTGCTTTTCATAGACCGGCAGAAGGAGCTTCCAGGCCCATGAATTCACACTTCAGAGGGACAAAGAAAAAGGTGAGCATAAAGGCAGCGTTTGAAGACTGGAACCAGTCTCTCTGTTGTGCAAATTAATGGCAGTCAACATGGCACTCTGTGACTTAAACATATCTAGGTGAATATCCCTTGCTTGGGAAGGGATAAATCCTTGATTGTGTTCTGTCTGCAACTTCATAACATTTAAGGGTTTTCCCCCCTGAGAGAACATTCTGTATTCAGAGTGTTCTCTCAGGTTTTGCTTTTCACCTTGTTGCATTGCCAAAAAAGAAAGCAAAAGGCACTGGTGTTTGGCACTCCTGGTTTCCAGGACGGGGTTCAAGTAACTGCGGTGCCCTTGCTTACTTTCAGTGCAACCTCTCTCTCTCTCTCTCTATCTATCTCTCCCCCCGAAGAACTAAATCAAGCAACTTGCTCCCCTGATACATCGTCACTGGATTACGTGGATGCTTCCCATCCTAGCACCCCCAGCCATAGGGAACAAACCACTTACTACTACTTCTTCTTTTAAAAAAAGACTGTCTCTTAATTTTCCATTGTTTGTTTAGGAAGTAACCTAACTATGCAAACAAATGATCCTATTTAGATTATGCAGAATGTGGAAAAGGCCGGGATGAAAGAAGAAATGGCATCACGTTCACTCATTAGCAGAAGGTCCTCGCCGTCCGCTAAGTCAGTCCCCGCACACTGAGGTAAACCCGGCGGGGCGTTTTGGCTGGCGGGCTGGATTTATGAGCCTGGCGGGCCGGACTTGGCCTGCGGACCGTAGTTTGGGGACCCCTGCATTATAAGAACCGTCCATCCAGATCTTCAGGAGGGCCAGGATTGCATTTTGCAACATTTTCCACATTAGTTTGTGGAAATTTCTTTCTTACTTCGGGGCGGTATGTTGATAAAGGGAATGGCACACCTTCCTCTGCAACGAGATTTTCAAATTCCACACTTATCTGGAACATGCACATTTTTGCTAGTTATCTGAGGAAACATTGTACAGTAAACTGGAAGAGGAAGTGTGAGTCATTGGTGCTCCCATGCTGACGAGGGAAGGCGGGATCTGGACCAGCAAGAGCATTGCCTGCGCAGGGGTGGAGGGAGGAAGGGGGAGAAGGCAGGATTGGCATCGCCCGTCCACCCTGCACCCATCCCTGGGTGGTAGATCACTGCCAGTTTTTATATTGGATCGTAGATCACACTCTACTTCTGGTTGGACATGCCTGATCTAGAGGTGTGAGAGGAAAATGACTGATAAGCAAAACAAAAAATCCTCTTGTTTTTCCTCAGAATAAGGAATAAAATATTTTTTTCAAAAAATAATAATACTTTTGCTACAGTTTAATTACACTGATACAATGCTCCCAGATCCACGATTCAAAATGACTCCAGCATGAGCCTAAACAAGGAGTGGTCCTAGGACCAAGCTAGGAACTTGATGAACATATTGCTGCTGCCACATCCTGGCACAGCCTTTGTACAACACAGGTCAGCAGTTGCTCTTTCCTCTCATTTGTCTTCTGAATTAAGTTAAAGAAGCTGATGTGTGTTGATTTCCTATTTTATATTGCTATGGTAATAGGATCTCTATACTTCCCTGGAGTTTCTTTGCTTGAGCTTTGAGCATGTGACCAAGACAACAGTTTTGACTTCAAAATTGTATTAAGTGGATTGGGAGAAGAGATCGCAAGTATAATTTGGGTAGCATTCATGGATATTTTCCAGGGTTTGGTCTCTTTCAGCCCATCAATCTGAAAATAAATACTGCTGCCATTAGGTTGCAAACTGCAAAAGTGGCCACACACAATGCTATTGCTGCCTTTGCGCATCAAGGCTATGTGAAGGACATAATGTAAGCATATGGATTTCATATCACACAAATTTCCTAGGGCAACTTCAGAAAATAGCTACTTGTGGAAAGCCTGCAATATTTTTTTTAGTAAGTGAGTTATGTAAAGATTAGAAAAGGCCAAACCAGAATACTTTATAAGGTAAGAAATGGATGCATGCCACATGAAAATATTTAAATGTCTTCCAGATGTGAGCACCCACCCACCCTCTTTCTGACTTGCAATTTGATGGTTGTATTAATAAAATACCAAGCATATTATGAAATATACACTTACATTTAGTTCAATATTTGTTTGTCTGTTCTCTTTGCCCAAGTTCTTCAAGTCAAAGATCCCCTACTGTGTAATAAATCCAGAGAAGAAAGTTGAATCAGCTACCAATGAGATAAAACATCAAAGTTTCAAATGCTTTGAACCTTTTGAATTATTTTTATGGGTTTATAATGTAAACGTGCAAACCTAGGGTATAGTTCATTGGCAATATGTTTTGTGTGAACCACCTCAGAAGTGAATAAGGTGAGAACAGGTACCTCCTTGTTCACTGACACGGTTGCTGCCCAAGAGTCCTTCTTGCCCTGCCTTCTCACAAACTCGGTGCATAAGCTAAGCACAGTGGGCTGGATCTGGACAGGAAGCTAGGAACATTTATGCTGCAGTCCTAACTGTGTCTACTTAGAAGCAGGTTCTATTGAAGTAAGTGGAGGCTTCTTCCCATGTAGATGGGTTTAGGCCAGTTCCTACTGAAATAAGTGGGACCTAAGTCATGGGATGCGGGTGGCGCTGTGGTCTAAACTACAGAGCCTAGGGCTTGCTGATCAGAAGGTAGGAGGTTCAAATCCCCACGATGGGGTGAGCTCCTGTTGCTCAATCCCAGCTCCTGCCAACCTAGCAGTTCCAAAGCACGTCAAACTGCAAGTAGATAAATAGGTACCACTCCGGTGGGAAGGTAAACTGCGTTTCCGTGCGCTGCTCTGGTTCACCACAACCCCAGAGTTGGCCACGACTGGACCTAATGGTCAGGGGTCCCTGACCATTAGGCCCAGTCACAGATGACTCTGGGGATGTGGCACTCATCTCTCTTTATTGGCCGAGGGAGCTGGCGTACAGCTTCCAGGTCATGTGGCCAGCATGACTAAGCCACTTCCAGTGAACCTTACCTTTACCTTCAAGTCAAGGCTGCAATCCTAACTCATCTTACCGGGAGTGAGCCCCACTGAATTTAAAAGCATTTACTTCTAGGTAGGCATGATTTGGATTGCACTGTTAGTCTGGATCCATCCTGTTCTCTACCCTCCCTCACAAATGCCACAACAGCACTGATCTATGCCTGCTTTGGCCGAGTAGCCAGCATTTCAGCAACAAGCAGCTGAAGAACAATCATGGACCTCAGCTAGGTCTGGGTGATGATGTGGTGCAGTTAATGGGTTATGGGTTACTGTTGTTCTCTTAATCTTAAGGATTAATATCTGCATAACAGTTGGGTTTCTTTTCCCTCTGTGGTCTGGGTATCCTGGTCGAGGCCCCTGTATTAAATACCTAAAATAGAAAACAAATAAAACATTTGATTCACCTAGCTAAAAACAAAGCTAGCAAATGAAACGTTTCCTTTTCCTTCTAGAAAAAAAAGCTACGCATTTGCTCTTTTGCTGCTTTGGAAAGAATTAGTAAATAACCAGGAAGTTATTGAAAGGGCTGTCACATGGAAGATGGAGCCGACTTGCTTCCTCCTGCTCTGGAGGGGAGGACCTGAACCAATGAATTCAAATTGCAAGAAAGGAGATTCTGGCGAAACATCAGGAAGGACTTTCTGATGGTACAAGCTGTTTGACGGTGGAATGGACTCCCATGAGAGGTGGTGGACTCTCCTTCCTTGGAGGTTTTTAAGCAAAGGCTGGATGACCATCAGTCATGGATGCTTCCATTGAGATTCCTGCATCACGGGGGGCTGGGCTAGTTGGCCCTTGTCATCCCTTCCAACTTATTTTATTTATTTTTTTCAATGCTTATTACATACAAAAAGAAAACAATACCGAAAGGGGGTACAACTTAAGGGGGGATGGAAAAGGAAAGAAAATAAAATTTGCACAATCTGTTAATAAGATAAAAAGTATGACAAAAATTTGTGATTGCAATTTCATGTTACAATAAAAATAAAAATCTCATTATCTTCTATACCTGACCTCCCATTTATTCCTTAATTCTTTTTACATAAATTTACTGCCATGTCAAAATACTGTTTTTTATGTTAATATTTTCACATTTATAAATGTTTATATAAGCAATTATTAAAAACTGCTGGGATCACTCAAAAGCTGCTACAGATTTTAACATGGTATAATTTTGTTTAAGATATGATCTGAAGGCTTCCCGTTTTGATACAAATTCAATTCTCGGTTTATTTTTTATTTTTTCAGATAGACTATCTAATTCAGCATATTCAATCAATTTTTGTATCCACTCTTGTCTAGAAGGAATTATGTCGCTCTTCCCTTGTAGCTATAAGAACTCTCACTGCCACTGTTGCATACAAAAAAAGATCTTTAATTTTTTTAGGAATATCTGAATCAGTAATGCCCAATAGATATGCCTCTGGTTTCCTAATAAATGAGCTTCTTAACATTTTTTCTAGTTCAAAGTGGATTTCCTCCCAAAATTTCTTTATTTTGCTACATTGCCACCACATATGGTACAGTGAGCCTCTTTGGTCTCCATATCTCCAACAATTACTTTTGGCTCCTTTGTACATTTTGGCTAATTTCCATGGAGTTAAATACCACCGGTGTTGCGTTTTTAAACAAGTTTTCCTTTATGGCTTAGCACGTAGTAGATTTCCAATTATTCTTTCACAGGTTTTCCCATTGGGACATTGTTATAACAAACCCAACTCTAAAATTCTATGATCCCGTGATTCTATGAAAGTGCTCTATCATTGTTCAGACTCTGAATTCACTAGGTCACCCAAGGTCCCCTTCCCCCAGCCTCAACTCCCTTCTCATAAGAGATTAGGTTTGAACTTTCCAATGCACTGCACATATCATTGCTACTAAGAACATGAGAGGCTCGTGACAGTTCCATACAGTGTGTGTGTGTGTGTGTGTGTGTGTGTGTGTATGCACACACATTCTTTTCCTCCTTCTCCACAGTAATAAAAGACCATGAAAGTTACAAATCAAGCCTGGAAACATTTGCCTGCATGGTATTAATGGTGCCTCTGTGCCTGCATGGTCATTATTTCAGTGAGAAATAGTACTTACATTTAAAAAGACAGAAAAGCTACTCCAGGTAATTTAGCACTGAGTATCAGAACTAAAACTGAATTTCTCACTCTCCTCAGCTGCAACCCTAAGCACATTTGCTCAAGAGTAAGCCCCAGTGAACACAGACCTATTTTCAGGTAAATGTTCATAGGACTGTGCTGTGAAAACCTTTGCACATTCCTGTTTGTGATAACTACTCCAACATTGTTCACTTGCCAATAATGTTCAGTTTGTATTTTCCTTAAATAGAGCTACTATATTTTCAGCTCCAATTGCATTCAGTATATAATAAGCACAGCTAAAGGTGTCAGGAAGTGCAGAGTACTATTTAGAACTGCACAAGAGATTTAAGGCAGAATATAATTGCCCAGGTTGGAACCTGGCCACAAGCTATATTTAATACATCCAGTCTTGCAAAAATACTGTGGGAACTTCAAGGAACACAAAAGGTCAGGACTTTGGTGTCTGCTCTTAGCTGAAGGACTGCAGCTTCATAATGAACATTACAAATAGTTCAGCCCCAGAAATAAATACTTGTTAATCAGTTAAGTTTTCCTATGCCAACATTCACTTACTGAAACATTAAATGCAGCAGGGAATCCAGGATACTGCTACAGGGTTTGTTTTTCTTTGGATGAGAGAGAGTACTTGAGAGCCATGATGTCTTTGTTTCAAATATTCAAGCAGAGCATAGTGAAATCAAGTTCTCAGCCAGCAGCAAAACTGCTAATCCTGCCTTAGGGCCAAACAAACATTCATTAGCTGCAGTTCTGGTTTTTTATTGAAAAATTGCAGACATACAAGGGGTAGATCCTTACCATGGATACAGCATGTGTGTGTGAGTGAGGATTCTCTCTTTTCCCTTGCAAAAATAAAACCACCCACTCCTGAAGTTAGGAGCCTTAGGAGAGAAGTCCCCATCGACACCATTGCAGATCCCTCCCCCAAGTTGCTACTGTAGCTACATGAGTTCTAGTCAGGTCATACATGGCCAGTTGCCTCAGCACCATGGAGAGCTCACAGTGAGAAACCTGCTCTGAAAAGGGTTGGAACCTTTCCCACCTCTTACAGAGAGATATTCAACAAAGATTTACTCAGAGTGAAACCTGATGTGATGGTCCCGGGGGGGGGGTTACCGTGAGGCGTGGTCAGAGTCTGGTCCTGGGTTGAGGGTCTGGAGACTGTCCACCAAGGGCGAAGCGGGGTCCAAAGCAAGAAGCTGGGCGTGGTCGGGAACTCTGGAAGAAGAGGTCTGGGTGCTGGCAGAAACAGGTTTCCAACGAAGTTGCTCCCGCAACCTGGGACTGAGCTGACTGGCCTTTATCTCCTCTGGGGCCTAGGGCGGTCCCAGCCCACAGGTGACTCGCCTCTCCTGGCCTTAAGGCAAGCACTCCTCCTGAGAGAACCTAGTTCCCTCCACCTCTCTGTCCTGAGCCTCTGCAGCTCAGGAGAGGCTGGAGGGTTACTGGACCCAGAGGCAACCTCACCGTCCCCTGACAGAGCTGGGAGAGGAGCACCTGCAGGCAATGGGTCCTCAGTCACCTCCGGAGCCAGAGTGGATTCATCTGGTGTCTGCTCCTGAGGATCCAGCACAGGTGCAGGCCCTTCAGATTCAAGGCCCTGCCCCGGCTCAGCCGGCCCTGGAGGCGGGGACTCCTGTGCAGGCTGGGATTCCTCTGGTTCAGCCTCTGAATCAGATTCCCAGGCCATCATACCTGACTAAGTTAGGTCCATAAGGTCCATATCTAGTTACATGATAGGTTCAGTTAACATTTCTCTAAGTATTTTCTTCTTAGTACAGTGAAAGCCCTACTTTCTAAAATGCCTTATTTTGATATAATTCACTAAATGTAATGCATCCTAAAAGAATAATTAAAGATGTTAGCCATACATTGAAACACACATTTATAGATTAGGGGACAGCATGTGTCTATGAATGCAGTCCATATAATCAAATGTCTATAAAGTTCATCATCTGATGTTCTTTTTACAGGAAATGTGTTTCCATAGGATGATTGTACAGGATGATTGTAGTCTAGAGTTAAAAGTGGTCTACTTGATAGCTCAGCTGGTTAGAGCATGGTGCTGATAACACTAGGGTTGTAGGTTCAGTACAGCTGCATATTCTGACATTCAGGGGGTGGACTAGATGATCCTTAGAGACCCTTCCAACTCTACAATTCTATGGTTTTATGATTCTTACAGTTGTGGGTTTTACTGAAGGGTAATCTAAACTGAAGATAAGCCTCTTATTTAGCCAAACTGGTCTCTATATATTGTTGACTATGCTTTTTTTTAAAAAAGTGTTGGGTTTTATAGCCAATATAGCCAATAATCTAACAATGACCCATTGGTAAGCTACATGAGTCAGTTGTCTCTATTGATACATTGCTTTTCCTGGATAGTATTCAAAGCATTTTACCCCTGTTTTGTAGTTGGCTTGATGCAGTAAGAAGGAAAAATAAGGTGACATTTGGAATGGCTCGTATGTCGTTCAGAGCTTTGTTCTCAAGATTGCCTCCAGACAACCTACATATCTACTGCTGGTGAGCCCTCTACAATAAACCTGAAGACACTGTAAGGGAGCTAAAAGTTCAACTTTGTTAGAAAACAAAGACTGCATTAATAATCATGATGCTATCAAAACAGTCTCTATCAGTGTTGGTGATGTTACACTGACACACTGCTGACTCAAACAGATGTGAAAGAATGGCCTTTTTATTCCTAGTTCCTCAATCTCAAATATTAGGACAATCTCCACAATGTAATTTGGTTGACCATTTGAAGGGCTAACAAGTAATATGAACATGCTAGGATGGAGCAGGTGGCCAGATGGGGTGCTGGGCCAAAGGTACTCACCTGATCTCCTGACAACTCAAGCCCTGCTGCTTGAGGGGCAGTCAGTGTGCTGCAAATGTACTAGCAGAGGCAACTCAGTACTCCTGCTGCTGCGTTTGCACTGCACCAACCTCCTCACACCTCCTCCTTACCTTCTGTTAAGTAGGAGCAAAGTCGGCAGTCCCGAGGTCAGGTGACTGCTGCCTCCCCACCTCACCCCACTGCCCACTCTTGACTTTGCTATACTCTACAGCAGCCTCCTTCAACCTGGGCTTCCTAGGTGTTGTTGGACTACCCTCAGGGATGATGGGAGTTGTAGTTCCAAGAATATCTGGATACTCAGGGTTGAAGAAGGCTTATGTGGAGGTGCACAGACAACAGCTATCTAGTAAAGTTTCTTTAAGATAAGTTGTAGATCCATGGATTGCAAAGGAAGAAAAATAAAATGCAGAAAACAAGATCACAAGGCAAAGAATACTTTGTTCTAATATGGCAATGCAGTCCATAGTATTTTGAATCAACTGTAAAGTCCTTATGCTGCAGACGTTACAATAAGCTTAGCAAGATTAGTAAGCCG